TTGGAAAGTGTATTTAAGTTTCTTAATACTTCTGAGCCAGCTTAGGGTTGCAATGGGCAATTTCAGGAGGGAACCCAGGAAGTATTTCTGTACCTAGGTAATTAACAACTGGAACAGGTTACCAGGCTGGATCATTGAGGACAGGATGCTGGGCTCATTAAGAAAAAGCTTGATATTATGACGGGAGAACATTCTGGTGGGTATTCTGGAAGGATGAGATCAAATAGGCCAAAGGAGGATCTTCATTCAAAGCAATCTTGTGACCTTATTTCTCTCAAGTTGGTTTGGCTGAAATATTAGAAATCATCTCTGTAGGAAGGGACACTCGCCTCACAAGCCCGAGTTTGATTCCCGGGCAGGGCAAAACATTAGGCAAGTTTCCTTACTTCACACACCTCTGTTTACCTAGTAGTAAGTAGGGACCCAGTTGTTAGTCGATTGGCGGATCACTTTCCTTTAAAAAAATAGAATAATAATAATAATAATTTGGTCACTCAATCCTCAACTGTTTCTGGGACACTGCTGTGCGCAATTGGCTATCGCTTTTTTCCCACAAAATATACAGTCATTTTACTTTACACTATATACTGTGAAGCTCTCAATGACGTAATAAGGCGATACATCAAATGCCAAGGATTATTATTAATAATAATAAAACTATAAATGCAGAAAACAGGATCCTCACACGTTAGCACTTGCCCACAAAGGAACCCACTAAAAGTCATAAATAATCCACCTTAGAACTTTCTGTTGCAGAAAGATCGTGATGTCAGTGGCTAACAGCCTTGAACAGAAACATTTTCTCTGGTACCTTAATACCCGCTGATACACTGCATACCACCACATTGGTTCAAGATGTGCAGTCTAATTCTGCCAAACCAGCGCAGTTTGGCTGTGGTTTTGACACAGCTGGGAAAAGGTAGTCACACAATGTAAGCAGCACCGCCGTCCATATACTGCCCGTCTTATAAGCTTTAAGTTTTTTTTAAAAAGAACTTCAAGTCCCAGTTATACAACAGAGACTAGATCAGGAGTCGTTCAGCACACTTCCATCAATAGATGTTTTGCTGAGAATAGGCGGCCGAAGTGAATAGGTTTTATAGACCTCTCCCTGCTCCTCTCGCTCTTCTGACTAGTTTTCCATCTGATCAGGGCTCATTGCTATCCCCTCAACATATACATTTTCTTGTTTCTCTACATCAATGACCTCCACTCGTTCTGCAACCCCACCCAGTCTTTTCCTGATTTTGGGGGGTCAGCCAGGTGTCTGTACCACCTCCACCTTTAAGAATATCCAAACCAAATTGAGATTTCCATGCATCCCACCTACACATGGAAATTCCAGAGATAAATTGTAGGAATGGAATGTGCACTCTCTCCCTGGAGGGACACATCCTGCTTACCTAATTCTGGAAAGTATTAAACGCAGGTTAGCAAGAGCCAAGGCTTGGGTTCCCCAGAGTGCATTGAGGTACTGCTGGAGTCTAACCAGCTAAAACCGCATAGCTTGCCATTGATACTGGTGTCCGGCAAGCTTTCCCGCTGCCTGTCCAGCTAGGACCACCTCAGGCTTTGGCTTGCAGGGTTAATGGGAGCAAAATGGCCCCATTAATTGGTCTGCCTTTCCAAGTCCATGTTGGAAGCTACGGTTTTAGCTGGTTAGACTCCAGCTGTATTCACATCTCTAAGCTACTACTTCAGTGAAGTCCTGGGGGTGTAATGAAGTGCTGGGGGTACACACCGAGGTCTCATCTGTTATGGTGGATGTTAAAGATCCCATGGTACTATTTGAAAAGAGAAGTGAGTATCTCTCGGTGTCCAGACCAACAATCCCCCAAATAAAATTGGTCATTCACCTCATGTTGTTTGTGAGACATTGCCATGAACAAATGGGCTACTGAATTCACCTCCAAATATTCAATCACTGTACCGTACCCGAGAGCTGTTACCACACCAGACAGCTGTCACTGGAAATATTTCTATTTCCACACCAGTTCTTATTATTGTGATTTTCTCAGGAGGTTTTCATACTTGGAACAAAATTCTGGTTAGTTTTATAAATCTGTGGCCATTAGGAAGTTGGTTTTGACTGCTCAGACTCTTTGCACTTAGGCTTCCGAGTAACCTTTGGGAAAAGGGGAATTTCGACCTTTTGGTCTGGGCTGGTTTTGAATTTGATTGTGTGAGGAAGGCTCCATACATGGAGAGTTTCCCTTCTTGTTCCATGCAGACGCACCTAAAATTAGAATACACATAGTGTCAATCTTCTGGCTATTGACTTTACCTATAACCTTATACGATGAAATATGTCAACACCAGACCTCGGAGTTAATCCTTTAATTCTTCCTACTTTTTTTTTTGCATTTTGTTTGGTTTGTTTTCTTATAATCCATCTGGATTTTTTCTAATTTTTCGAGTCACCTACTTTGTTTTCCCTTGGCCCCCCCCCTTCATTTCAGTTCCGGTTTAACCATCATTCATTTTCTCAGAGCCTGCTTAAAATCACACACCTGGCTGAATGGCTGAACGATTAAGTAACTTTTTATATTTCCTTATCGCATTCAATCATCTCAAATGCTCCCGCAAAGAAATTCTGCCAAATGTAGTGACTGTTTCCACAGGCTGAGCCTGATGGACAATTCATTTGTAGGATTAATGATATTCCTTACATTTGATATGGCGCCTACTCACGTCGTTGAGACGTCTCAATTGCTTCTCAGAATTATTGTAAAGTGAATTGACTGTATATTTTTGGAGGCAAAACGCAGCAGCCAATTTCACACAACAGTTTTCCACAAACAGTCGTGGATTGAGTGACCACATTTTCTTTTTAAAAAGGGATTCGAGGGGATTATTACCCCAGGAAAGCGATCCGCCAATCGTCTAACAACTGGATTTCTACTATAACTGCTAGGTAAACAGAGGCTTGTGGAGTAAGAAACTTGCCTTAGGTTTCGTCCTGTCCGGGAATCAAACCCAGGTCCCCTCGCTTGCAAGGCAGGTGCTCTAACGCATGCCCTACAGGACTCCACCCTGGTTTGTTGATTGGCCAGGACACCAGGAGAAACTCCCGTTTCTTTCTGAATGTGGTGTCACAAAACCTTTAACATCCAACCGCATAGGAGCTCAGTTTAATGTCTCACTCAAAAACCTACTCTCCTTTCCCTCTCCGACATCGCAGGATACTCTCAGTGCTGAATTAGAGTGTCAGTCTAGCTATGAGCACATCTTGCCAACAAGAGGCTTGAGCCTGCAACCCAAGACTTCTGATCCAAGACATACCAACAGCGCCAAGATGACTGCTTGCATGAGTATGAGCATACAAGGATTCAAGTGCATATATTGCAGCAATAGGGGCAAAATTAGCCACTGACAGACCAAGATTGCAATCATTGGGGAGGTGGGGTGGGGGAGGGATAAAATGTTGTACAAGGCATTAAAATAAATTCCCCAGAAACTCCAACAATATGTTGTAACTCAGTGAACAGCAAAACAATCGACTAAGCAACACGAAGCGGAAAACCTCCTACTGTGATTTGGATGCTGTGCATTCTATTGAATATGAAGTCATTCCACAGACAGAGCAAGTTCAAACTGTAGATAATTAATGTGTCACATTGTTTATGTCAGGGGAGGAGAAAGGTTCCAGACTGCAAACCGCTGTGACTGCAAGAGCAATCAAAATGGGGTCAGCAGGTCTTAAAAACTGTAAAGTCTCAGGTTCACGCTCTGCACTGTACTGTAAAAGCACAACTCCAGGAGGGCTGCAGCCTGCTTCACTTAACAAATTGGCAAAATGTGCCCGCTCGCACGTGCGTGTGCGTTCTCTGATGCCGACTGTTATGAGAATCACTGGATTGCCTCCCCCTGCACAGAAGCAAACCTTTCTCTCGTTCTTAGAGAGGAATTCTGTCTCCTGTGCACACCAAGGCTCCTGCTGCCATTCAGAGGAAGGAAGTAACTCACCCAGAGGGCACTTCAAGAAACTTGCACCTTGCAATAATCAGGGGACTTTTGCCTCACCCCATCAACCCCCACACCCCCCTCCTCTCTCCAAACACACATAAATAATTCCACTATTCATAAAGGCTCCTTCTGGGGTGTCCCTCAGTACTCTGTCTGGAGAAGATAATGTTAAGACCCCTCACCCCAGCACACACACAGAAACACACAGTTCCGAGTAATAGCAACAGCATTAACTATTGACAGTGAAAGAGGGGATAGTGCAAGTTGGAGGGAATTCCAGAAAGCAGGGGCAAAGCGGCTGAAGGTTTGATCACTGCTGAAGGGTCTGAGGACATGAAGTCAGCAGGCCTGAGTTGGCAGAGACCACAGGAGTCAGAGATAGGGATGGGTTCAAAGCTGTGAAGGCATTTGAAGTTAAGAACAAGAATCTAAGGGTCAGTGAGGACTGAAAGAACAAAAGTCCTTGCATTTGATACAGCTCCTTAACAGCTGTCGAGATATCTCAAAGCGTTTCACAGGATTTCACTGTAAAATGACTGTGTAGGCAAATGTAGCAGGCCATCTGCACACTGCAATGTCCCATGAAGTGAATGACCCATTTTATTTGGGGAACTGTCAGTCAGAGCAATGGGAGAAACTCCCTTCTCTTTTTGAGTCATGCCGTGGAATCTTTAATGTCTACCTGAACTCGGTTTAACATTTCATCCAAAGGACGGCACCTCTGAAAATGCAGCTCATTCCCAGTACCTGGAAATGGCAAAATTAAAACATGAGTTGCCAAAAGGATTTTTTTAAAAGGAGGTTGGAAACCTTGACTGCTTTTCGGGTAATATTTGCCATTGTCAACAAGTTTAAAATACTGTAGTAAAAAGTTTCATTACCTTAAATTACATTGAAAAGCTCCAAAAATGCCAGCAGTAATGAGCAATCCATTGCGTGTTTTACAAACCTGCTAAATTGCTGTGTGCGAAATAACTAACAGATGAGTTCTAAAAATTCCCTCATTTAGAAGCTATCTTTAAATTGTGTTTAAGGTGGAAATGCGATCAAGAAGCAACAGCCTGGAAAACGCATCCAAATCCAAAAGGTCGCAACAAAGAGGCAGGTCCCACCGTCGAAGCTCAGAAAGGGACGAGTTACAGTCGGGAACCATTAACATGAGTGAGAATCTGGGTAAAAGGGACTACATGGAAGAAACGGGCACCGTTCTGCGAAAGCGAAAAGCAAAGGCTCAAAAGACATCGTCCAAGAAACGGGAAGATCTGTCTCGAGATGACCTGCTGTTCCTTCTCAGTGTTCTTGAAGGTGAATTGGAGGTCAGTAACCTGAATTACCTGCGAGCTTTCAAACGGTCTGAAACGCTGGCGTTCGAGCTCAATTCACAAGCGGGGATTCAAAATGACAAGAAGATGCTCTACCTTTTACCTATCTTGTGGTGGAAGAATGTTCCTTAATTGTTTCTAACCACACTATATCGAAGGATGTGCCTTCCACACTAGTGAGCTGATCCTCATTGCAAGCTAAGGATGGAACATCTGCGTAGAATGTCTCCATCTTGTGCAGATCACTGAATAAAAATAAGTATTTTCGTTACATCGTTATATTGGGATTCCTCATTATATAGACATAGCAAAAAGAATGGTATAATTATTATGATACAGTTATGTGCTTCTCCAATATGTCAAGGTAGCTCCAAGCTGTCAGCCTGGCTCAGTTGGTAGCACTCTCACCTCTGAATAACAATGTTGTAGGTTCATGTTCGCCCTCACATCACCCAGGCTGACACTCCAATGCAGTGCCATCTTTGGATGAGACATTGAAATTGAAGGGTGGGCCTTCAGCTTTTCTGCCCCCACTCTCTGGAACTCCCACAGTCCCCTCCTTTGCCTCCTTCAAGACCCATCTCAAGATGCTCCTGTTTGACGGTGCCTTCAGTCACCCTCCTAGGTCCACCCTCCCCTTGGGACGTCCTCTGGAAGTGAAAGGCGCTATACAAATGTAATTTGTTGTTGTTGAGATCCTATGGGCCTGTTCAATGAGACATTAGAGATCCCACAGCACTATTCAAAAAGAGAAGGGAGTTTCTCTCTCGATTGTCCTGTCCAATAAACCCCCAGATAAAAATCAGTCATTCGCCTCGTGTTGGACATTGCTGCTCAATGCCGCTCACTAACTAGCTGCTGTGTTCACCTGCAAGTCACACAATCATGAGATCAATACAATACATTGTACATCGTATTGTAAATTTCACTGGGAGGATGTCCCAAAGTGTTTCAACCAAACTTTACAATGAATAATAACTCAGGAGGACGTCTCAAACGCTTCCCAGTATGTATATGTCGTGAAGTGCTTTGAGACATCCTCGAAGGTGAAAGGCACTGAGTTAAATTCAAAGATAATGCATATTTATATAGCCTTCTGTAAATATCACGCAGGTGCGAGAGAGCAGTGCTGCACGCCACTTCACCTTATGCACTTCTTTGGTTTAGGCTCGAGATGAAGTTATAACTGTGCTGAAAGCTGAAAAGATTGACTTGGCGCTGCTGGAAGCACAGTATGGTTTTGTTACCCCAAAAGATGTACTACAAGCTCTCCAGCGGGACACAATCCAGTCCAAGAGCGAGCCACTGCAGGAGGACATCTACGAAAGACCCATGGTTGAGGTACGTGGTTTATAGAACCTTCAAAGTACTAAGACCACTTACAAATAGAATGGCTGCCCGTTTTACTGGGGTGGGATTTAAGTTTGGACGTTTCTTAGGAGGGGTAAAGGAGAAGGCATTGGGATGGGTGAAGGCTTGCGTGGAGTATAAATACCGCAGAGAAGATCTTGGAACCAGTGCTCATTGTTTTGAGCTCAGGTTAGGCAGGGGGTGGGGAGAAGAGGGCGTTGTGTGTGGTCTCACATCATGGCTTTAGGAGTTGGTGGAAGAATGCAAACTTTTGTTATGGATTCTAAAATATTGCAACATCTCACATTTCTTATCCAAGTGTTGTGTTATTTCACCTCGAGGCATTTACTGAAGCACTGTAAATCTGCGTTAAAAATAAAGAGCCAGAAAGTGAGAGCAATTCAAAAAAAAGGAATTGGGGAAGATGGGGGAGCGGGTTGGGAAATGGGGGGGGTCAGACTGGTAACAATTAACATTTTAATTCTGACCGTGTCATAGACCGTTTTGTGGTTCGCAGCAATGTTTTGTTTGGCAAATTAGCTGTGAATAATAAATAATTACTGCAGGAACATTAGCAGACACCATTCATTATTTCACAGAGTGTGACTAGGTTACAATATGCCCAAGCTTTGCTTGTCTTGCTCCTGTTGTATCTGATAATGCAACAACAACTTGCATTTACATAGCGCCCTTCACCTTGGAGTCTCAGAGTGTTTCAGTCACACTGGCGGATTGGATGCCGCGCAAGGGAGAAAGGGGGGAGAGGGAGGTGACTGTAGGCACAGTTGAAAAGGTAGTTTTTTAAGATTTAAAGATAGGTAGAGGGATGTGGGCTAATTGGAGTCGGTTACAATAAAACAAAATGAACAAATACATCCCCTTATATTTAAAAATCTCGCAAATGAAATACACAACTGCTTTGCAAAATGGTAGACCATGAATTTTGTCTGCGATATTTTTCTTCAATAATCCATACGCAATGAACAATCACTGCACTTTACAATAAATTCTGTGAAGCGCTTTGAGATATCCTCTTGACATGAATGGCGCTATATCAAATACAAGCATTGTATTATTATTATAAATAATGTATTATTATATTAATACTAGTAGGCTTTGTTTAGAAGACCGATTCTGTTATTGGTTTTTTTAGCAAGTGTCAAACTATATTCACATGTTTCACTCACAAGTTGACTCATGAACAGTACCAGAAAATGTTTCAAAACTCAGCCTGGCTCAGATCGTAGCATTCTTGCCTTTGAGTCACGAAGTTGCTGATTCAAGCCCACAGTCTCTTTAAACCAAAGTCCCCTCTGCCTGTTCTGGTAGAAAACAAAGATCGCTGCCATTACTTGAAAAGAGAAGGGAGTTTCTCCCTGGCCAACAATACTCTGGCCTAATTAGATATTTATCTGCATGCAAAATAGCTGCCGCATTTTGCCTACAGGAAAGACACTGCATGTGATAGCATAATTTTTATGAAGGATTCGAGATGTTTTGACTTGAGATGTGCTATAACAAAGCCAGTTTTCCGTTCAAAAACTATAAAACCACCACTATTCTGTCAGGAATTTATGAATGAAACATACTGGAAGTCCCCTGTTGCAGGTCAATTTACTCCTTTCTAAGTTACTCTTGCTTTATGTTTCAGGATTATGAAACTCTTAGTGGGGGAACGGGACGATGAAAGAGTAGATTGAGAAATGATCGATATCACTGATCTGGGGAAGTTCCATATCTGTCAAGCAATAACAATGTTAAGGGGATGGCTGATGTGCTTGTGGACTTCACACAAAATGGAAGGCTCAAAAATAGCTTTAAAACAACAAAATTCCATTTGTGTAGCACCTTTCACGTCAGTTTTGCCCCCAACCAGTGCATCATAATGGGACTCCACTGCAATTGTCAAACTCTTAATGTTTCGCTTGTAACGGAGACTCAACTGGCATATCTTCAAACTGATGCAGACTTGGGCAAAACAGAATTCTAACTGAATACAATTCTTACACCGCAGCTCGACAAACTCGTTGAGAAGCAGAAGGAGACTCACAGGCGGATGTTGGAACAACTTCTCCTGGTTGAGAGGTCTCATAAGCTCACAGTCTACGAACTGGAGGATGAGAAAAAAAAACATGTGGACTACATGGACAAGAGCGACGAATTTACCAACCTCCTTGAGCAAGAACGCGAACGGTAAGATGGAAAAAGTATAATTACACACACACACCCACCCACACCACACACATACCCACCACACACACACACACATACAACTCTACATTCCCAGGATATGATGCACAACACTGTGCGAACACTGGAAATAGTCCCAGTGAGGAATAACTGGAAATCTCCCAAAACATCCCCTAATCACATTTGATGGCATTGCTTACAGTCCACATTTGGACCAGTTTCATCTTGGCGTCTCATTTGATACATTCAGCACTGAAACCAGGGAAAAAGCTCCCTTGCAAATGAAAACGTCCGTACTGAATCAAAATTATGTTTTCAAAAATTCCAGGGAACTTGAGTCATCTGCCACTAAATTTCTGAAAAATTTAGTTTCCAGTGCCAATTATGCCGACGTAAACAACAAAAATGCTCTGTTGAAACACTTGCGGGGGGGCTATGTTTAGCCTTGATCCCCAAACATTTTGTGGCATGTTCATGTCTAAGAGAGGCCTAGAATTAAATGTTGTTGTTCAGCTGTTTTACTCACAGAGCAACGCACAAGATACCCAAACTCCAGTTCTTCAAGATAGCTGTAAATTTACAATCAGCAACAATATTTACATTCCTCGGTCAAAAGAAGACTCGTATGGTCTGCAGATCATAGCATAGTGTCAGTTTTGGCTGATGCTCCAATACTCCAACCTGGGCTTGCCAATCTGCGGCTAATACCCTCCAGAATTAGGCAAGCAGGGCACATCCCTTCAGGGAGAGTATTCACATTCCATTCTATACACACAGATATTTCCGTGTGTGAGTGGCGTACATCAAACTCTCTGTCTGGTTTGGATGCTCTTAAGGTGATGGGTATCTGCACGTGCCAGACACCCGGCTGACTTCAAAAAATAAAGTTGTCAAGTCATGTAGCTTCCTAGTGCGAGTGACCCTCTGAATGGGTTTGAAAGGAATGCTTGTGTAAGTGATGCTTATCAGTAGAGCGCTTGGAAAAACAGCAGTGTGCTGAATGAAAAGAAGGTTAAGTGCATTGGTAACGTCATCTGTGTGAGCTAACAGTTTGGTTTGGACTTCTCATGAAAGGCAAGATCGTTGACCATTTTCTTTTTCTTTTAAAGTCTTTTAAAGCGGCATAATATAAAAATAAAAATCCTTGCATTCGATGCAGCATTTTTCACGTCAGGAGGGAGTCTCAAAATGCTTCACATACTGTAAAATGGTGCGTCTGTGTATTTTGTGGGCAAACACAGCAGCCAATTTGCGCCCAGCAACATCCCGCAAACAGCCATGAAGTGAGTGACCAATTCTTATTCGGGAGATTGTTGGCTAAGACAACAAAACTGGTCGACACCTCCAAAAATGCAGCGCTCCCCCAGTACTGCACTGGAGGTGTCAGCCTAGACTAGGAGCTCAAAGTCAACAACAACTTGCATTTATATAGCGCACCCTCATACAGGGTAGAGTCCCAGATGGCTTGACAGAGGCAGAGCCTGACGCCAAACTGGGGTGGGGTGGGGTGGTGGTGAGAGGAGGAGGGGGAGGTGACCATAGTCACGGTTGACTGGGAAGGTCTTCAGGCGCAACCTGAAGATGGGGAAGGAAGGGGCAAGGTGGAGCGATAGAGGAAGAGCGTTCCAGAGTTTTGGGGCGTAGTGGCTGAAAGCGCAGCCATCGATAGTGGAACGGAGGGCACGGGGGACCTGCAGAAGGCCAGAGCCAGTCAAGTGGAAGCAGCGGGTTGTGGGTTGGGGGTTAACCAGGTCGGAGAGGTAGGGAGGTGCCAGGGCATAAAGGGATTTGAAGACGAATCTGAGAATCTTGAAATCAAGATCTTGAAGTCCTGAGTAGATCCACAAAAGGTGAACAAAGACCTGCTCTGTGATCACAGGGACTTGATTACCTGAAGAAGAGCAATAAGTGGGAGCAAGAAAAGAATCCCTTTAATAGAAAGCTTAAATGTTACTCTCAGCAAATTGTTCCGATTAGGGACATTGTGTACTGATCTCTATCAATAACAATGTGTCCTTGATCTGCCCAGGTTGAACCAAAGTCATTGCTTTGCTTTTTAAATACATGAAATACTAGATACTCACACAACTATGAGTCATTTCCAGTTTGAGCTAAAGAAACATGCTTTGAAAATCCAGCATTTCAATATCTAAATTGTTCCAAACCAAAAACATATTTTTCTCATTTGATTGTATGGGGACTAGAATCAGTGCCAGAGTTAATATTCCCACTAAAAGGATGTTACTACTAACTGAGTGCCAATTAACTATACAAATGCATTCAGTACAGTTTAAAAATACAAGACGATTTTAGTCTCTTGCTGGTTGAGCGAAGCCCGGTGAAGATTAAGTGAACTTGCTCGACTATTTCCAATTGTGAATACAAGTATTTCTCCAAAATAAGTAAAATTCCTAGATATCCAAACAGGTTTTTTTTGTTGCACATTTTAGGAAAACTATTATGAGGAGCAAACATTCTGAAGATTTTGCTGTTTTATACAGAGAGGTGTTGGGCAGTAATTTAATGCGAGATAGGAATTCAGGCTGAATTGGCTACATTTCTGGTTGCAGAAGGGAAAGTCTGCAATAAGTGCAATGTTAACTTGTGTTCTGTTTCTGTGTGTGCTTGTGTCCTTTGCAAACCACAGCATTTCCCATTCCTGGCACAGTCCAGTTTCCAAAGAGACTATAAACAGACCAACATCTTCCTGACGTGGTCTGATGGTTTCTTTATAGTCTGCGAGCAATTTGTAGGAAAAACGGATTGCGGGTTGTCTATGTGTTCAGTTGGTAACACTCGCCTTAGAGTCAGAAAGTTATGGGTTCAAGTCCTACTTTGGGACTTTGAGCTCACAGTCTTGACTAACACTCCAGTACAGTGTCGGGGGTGCATTTCTTTGTTGGAGACGCCTTCCTTCGGACGTTAAACCGAGGCCCAGTCTGCCTGTGGATGTGCTGCATTGTCAGAGGTGCCGTCCTTCAGATGAGATGTTTAACTGACGTCTGCAGCTAAATTTCCCCATGGCACTACCCAAAAAGAGAAGGGAGTTTCTCCCAGTGTCCTGGCCAACAATCCCCCAAGTAAAATTTGTTCACTCATTCCATGGTCATTTGTGGGACTTTGCTGTGCACAAATTTTCTGCCGTGTTCACCCAGAAAATACACAATCGCTACATTAAACCCTGTGAAGTGCTTTGAGATATAACAACTTTTAAGAGCGAATAGTTGGGTATTTGGGGAGGACAAGATTGCAGGGCTATGGAGAGAAAGCGGGCCAGTGGGATTGAGTTGGATTGCTCTGTTCGGAACTGGCGCAGACACGATGGGCTGAATGGCCTCTTTCTCTGCTGTACGTTCTATGATTCTATGATATCCTCCTGACTTGAAAGATGCTATATCTATTGCAAAGATTATTAATTCATTATTATTATCACACACTCCTTGTAAAGTATCCCTCAATACAGTAGAATTTCTTTACCGATATGTGGGTGTGGACATGGTAAGGCCTCAAGGAGACATCCACAGGGTAAGGAAGGAACTGTCCGTGTCTGTCATGCTCTATGAGAAGCTGTTGATGATTAGAAAAACGTAATCGCTGCTTCCCTTCCAGTCCTAAAACAACCTCCAGATGGAAAAGTTTGGGTGTGAGAATATCGACGTAGCACTAACTCCACGCCAGCAAAACCGATAATTCTTCTCTCAGTTCCTCTGTCGCACATCAAACACAGTGTACTTTGGCTTTGTGAACAGCTGTCACCCTTCCTGTCATAGTGGAATTTTGCCAAAATGCAGATATTTTGCTTACAGTTGTAGATATGTTGCTTACAATTGTCAATGAACGAATGATTACAGTACGTTTCCTGTGTTTTGATTCGGGAACTGTACTATTTTACGTCCTGCAGCTTGAAATATCACTTATTTCCCCCAGCCCCTAAAGAACAATGAATAAATTAAACTGTAAAATGTCAGATGAAGTAATCCAGGGGTTATGGAGCTGGTTTTCCAAATTGGTACCATGCGAACATACTAGCCAGGGTTGCAGGCCATTTGAAACTGCTGGGCAGGGCTGTGGTAGGATTCAAGGAAGGAAGGATTTCCAAGAGGCAGGGCAACATTACTTCAAGAAAGCAAAGACTTGATGAAAAATATAGATTATGCAAAGCAGAAATGGCTCCATGAATTGAGGTTTTGGATTTGCATCTGAAACCGTGCAGTGGGAGTAAACAGATTTATATAAAGATGGCCTAAAACGAACTGAGTGTCACATTTTTAACTGCCACGTTAAAGTGTAAATAGAAGTCACATTACGGGCAGTGAGGCTGACACTTGAGGCACACCCAGCAGACATGTGTGAGAGCCTAAACAGTGAGTGTGTTGGACTGATGTTATTTTACAGAGGGAGGGGTGGGGGAGGAATCCCAATATCCAGGTCTCTCTCAACGTACACAGCTCCAGATTTTAATGGTGGGGGGTGGGGGGGCGAGGCAGCATCTTAAAATCCTGAATGAAAACCTGGTGATTATACCCTCTGGAATTCAAGGGCACTGAGGCTAATTGTAACTGCAAATTGTAGCTGCTGCCCTAAATGACATTAGCTATCTTATGTTAGTCTAACAAATCAGACCTGTGCCTATCTGGTCATAGTGCTACAGCAGGTGTTAGCTTTAGCATTAGTTCCTCAGAGAAGCTCAATGCAGAGCTCAGAACTTTACAACGGTAAGCTCATCATTTTGTATCGTTTCAATTAACAGTTCATTTACCCGCCCCCACTGTAAAAGTATGGCAGAGCTTTGCGAGTAAAACACGATCTGAGCCATTCTATACCTTTCATCTGGCCGCACAGAACTAACCATGGGCTGGAAATGTCCAAATAGTGTAATTGACATTCATAATAGTAATCCTTGCATTTGATATTAGCGCCTTATCACATCTTCGAGAAGGCTCAAAGCGCTTCACAGAATGTACTGTAAAGTGAATTGACTGTATATTTTGTGGGAGAAACGC